CCTGCCCTCCATCTCACAGAGGAGACCATAAGGTCCTATTTTTGATGTAGCTATGTAAAGGCCACAAGGAGTACCTATTCCTTGGCACTTTATTTTATTTTATTTACTTTACCGGGATGTTAATTTGTGGCCCAGGCATTAACATTGATAACTTGAAATATGCAAGAGGTAGTCCAAACCCAAACACCCAACATGAGTTATTGGTGTTTAATTACTGAGGCAGTTAAATAGTGCTGTAAACGAGTTCATCTCTGATTGCAGCCATAACCCATGCAGTTTGGAATTGAAAGAAGAGATGATAAAAGGTGGCAATATAACATGAGAACGTCCATGAGTTGATTTTAATTGGTAAACTGGCATATATAGTGATAACTGTTTGGTCTGTCCACCGCATTGGAATCTTAGGGAAGTGCATAAAATTACAGGAGCATATAATTGGTGCACTAAACTCATTTTCTTATGTTATCACAGCTGGCATCTTCAGGTTATTAAAAGCCTTTAAACCAGTCATCTTCAAAGAGATCTAATTGTCAATATGGTCTTTATCCATTATTCCTGTTAGCACCGAGCAGAAGAAATATAAACAGGCACTAAAATCTGCACAAATTTTCTGTGCACGCCTTTCTTATTTCAAGTTCAAGGAAGATCAGTAAATGTTAATGAGGATAAAAACCATTCTTTAAATCCTTCTTTCTTCATTCAATGCACAAGGCAATCAGCCCGTAAAGGATAAATTATTAATATTATAGCCTCAACCAGACTTTTAAAAAGTTAATTCATTAGTTCCAGGAAGTTCTGTGATCATTTTGTGTATAAGTGGTTCTCCAAAATCCCAAGGTATAAATAATATGTCAGAACCATAAAAATAAGCTTAGGTTCTGACATTCTTTGCTGAGCAGTTATATGTTGTTTCATCTACTTACTCTGGCTAGATAATCCAGAAATTCTTCTAGAATGGTTTTCACATTCTGAGCACCATTCACCTACCTACCACCACACACCCACGGAGGAAATTTTCCCAACTGGAGAAATAGAGTTAATAGAACAAAGCAAAACAAAAGTAAAAGCATCTTCTCCCTCTCCTATGGTATTTCACAATAGGAAAAGAAATCCCCAAGCATGGACAGGTGTGAAATAGGAAGATAAGATATGAAAAAAGGTAAGGAGCTACCAGCCTAGCATTAATGATGATTAAAGATTGACTACAGGTTTATCATATATGAAATCTGTGTTCCTTTAAACCATCCCGCCTAGGAGTACAAATGGTAGTGAATTGAAAACAATTAATGGTATGTATTATCCTCTCCAATAGGATCTCCCTCTCTTCTACTTATTTCTGAGACATCCCTGGGTATATCTTATTTGTCCTTAAAATGTGACCACTCAGCCTGAATTCATCCCTTTAGCCTTTGCTGGCCATTTTGGAAGAAGGTGCCTTGCTTCTGGTCTATCTGAGGCTTCCTTCCATTGGGCTGCTGCTTTCTGTTGCATTCTACTGGCACTCTGGAACCCTCATGCTCTTGGAGTCATTTATTGTACTGAAACTGTACTAAGGGCCATACCTTTTGTGTCTACTCATGTTTTTAGCTGAGAAGATGAATCCATAGGAGGCTGTGGTAAGGGACAGATTCAAGAGACAAACCCCATGCTGAACTTGGAACCATCCAGAGGCCTCAATTTCCACCAAGAAAAGTTTTTGCCTAGGAGGCCTCCTAGTCTCTTGCGTAAACAACCACATCCCACTGGCGTTCTCAGCATATCTGAATCCCAAATGCAGTGTAGTTTCGGCTGTAACTGGAGTCTGACCTGTATTTGACCTCCAGATCCTTCTCAGTACTAGCTGATGACATTTCTTCCAAACCCTGACTTAATCTCTGAATCACTGATCACTAGCTTGGTTCCAGCTGCACATAATCCATCAACTCAGCAATCCTTGCACTGATGAAATCTCATAGATAACTCTGAATCCAGATTTCAAATCTCTCTCTCTTTTTTCTTTAATATCTCTGCTAAAAATTACGGTAGGTAGCAAAGTTTATTACATATATACATTTTTTACATACTTATTTTGAGAAAGAGTGAGAGAGAGAGCAAGAGCACCTCAAGTGGGGTAAGGGAAGAGAGAGAAGGAGAGAGAGAATCCCAAACAGACTCAGTGCTGACAGCAAGGAGCCCAACACAGGGCTTGATCTCACGACCCATTGAGGTCATGACCTGAGCCAAAATCAAGAGTCGGGATGCTTAACCCACTAAGCCACTCAGGTGCCCCTACAGTATATTTGAATGTATGCATGGTTTAGTTGTACATATTGGTCAAAACAAAGCATTTATTTATTGCTATTTAGTTACAATGTTAGGAAACTGCCATTGCACATATTCCAGTGTGAAATTTTAGTAAATACTTTTCAGTGTCTATGTGCAGGATTATTTTAAGCTCACTACATTTTAATCTTATTGCTGCAGTTACAAGACATCAGCTACCAATTATGATAATGTTTTGTTTACTTTATATATCAAGAAAAAAAGCCATTAGGTTAAAATTATCTACTATATCTCAATTACATTGTAATAAGATACTTACCAATATCTTTCAGGATAAAATCTGGAATAAATTAGCTAAGTTAATACTCTTGATAATTTTAAGATGAAATAACCCTTTGTTCTCAAATTTAAATACTTCATATTTTTAGTATGTTTGTGAGCTAACAATAGAAAAGCAAATTCCAAGACAATAGTGTTTTCCTTACTCTAAGGAATTAAGAATTAAGGCCGAACAAAGGGCAATACCTTCAGAGAGTACAGAGCTATTGATTTTGGCCTGCTGTGATTCTGGACATGTCCCATCAAATAGCTCCTGCAGTCATATTTAGTCCCACTGTGAGCTTTGCTGTCTTTCTTCCTGCCTGTCCCTTCCTTCTTTTAGAAATGATGATAATTATAATAGCAGTAAAAATATAAAGTATAAAACAGTAAGAACAGTAAAATATTTGTGGCAAGTTATTTCCATAAATAGGATTTCTAGGTAACTAAATTTCATTAAAGTACAAACGCTTTAAATATTTTTGATGGACATATTTATAAAATATAAGACATAAAAAATAATTATATGTAACCATGGTTTTAACATTTTCTTAGTGAATAACTGTTTTGAGTTACAGAACACTGATGCTTTTTGGATTCATTCATTCATTCATTCATTCATTCATTCATTCATCCATCCATTCAACAAATCATTACTGAATACTACTGTGTCCCCAGAGCTGTAGAGATAGAGCACTGAACACAACATACAAAAAGTGCTGCCCTGGGGCCCCTGGGTGGCTCAATTGGTTAAGCATTCAACTTTTGATTTTGGCTTGCTTTGTCATGATCTCATGGGTTCATGGGATGGAGCTCCGCATTGGGCTCTGTGCTGACAGTGCAGAGCTTGCTTGGGATTCTTTCTTTTTCCGCCCTCTCTGCCTCTCCCCTGCTTGTGCTCTCTCCCTCTCTCTCTCAAAATAAATAAATAAACTTAAAAAAAAAGTGTTGCCCTAATGGCACTCACATTCTAGCTAGTATGTAGGATGCTTCTCTCTATAACAAGAAGGCCCTGACTGCCATGGTTTGGGTTGTTTTGTCTCCTTCCTCTGCTGTCAGCTGTCACCTCCTGCTGGCAACATATCTCTTCCTGATCTGGGTTACCACTGCATGTCTTTTCCTAAGCCTCTCATCAAGCCAATAGGACCATATCCCTGGATGGAGCCCATGCAGCTTACTTTATGCCCACACTAGATGGGCTGCTCCCTGCCCTTCTGAGCAGTTCCCTCATCCCTACTCTGAATTTGGAGTCTTCCCTTGTTTCCTTTCTTTATCAGTGTGACTCAACTCTAATGATCTGATTCAACGATCAGGTACAAAGGTCTCTGTGCCATTCTTCCATGAATGCATGTATGTGTAAATGAAACTCCTAATTAGAAGACTAGCCATCATCAGTGTTATTACATACTAATGTGTATTGGTACAGCACAAAACACTATCTTTCTTATGGTTTTGGTGGTTAACCCAATAATTCTCTGAACCTCCACAAAAACAAAAAGGCAGACATCATAGCCTTCATAAGGGAGCAAAATCAGGTTTCCCACACTCTCATATATTGACCATGGCTGGTTAGAAGTGCGGGGAAAGGAACAAGAATTCTGGGCTGCCTTTAAGGGAACAGTGGTGACTGAGGTGAAAAAGAATATCTAGGGGCACCTGGCTGGCTCAGTTGGCACAGCATGTGACTCTTGATCTCAGGGTTGTGAGTCTGAGCCTCACATTGGGTGTGGAGATTACTTAAAAATAAAATCTTAAAAAAAAAAAAAGAAAGAAAAAGAATATCTAAGACTCATTCACAGACTTATCCAATGTTGGAGCTGGAAGAAGGTCCCACTGAACAGCAGTGAACATGGTAGTTAAGAACTCCAGTTCTGGGGCTGCATTGCCTGGCTATAACCCTTACAATCATTTGATCTTGGCCTATATACTTAACATCTCCATGCCTCAACTTATTCATCTGTAAAACAGTATACTTCACAGGATTATGAGATTCAAATGAATTAATGCAGGTAAAATGCTTTGTGTTGTGCCTGGTCCATAGTAAGCATTTGACAAGTGTTAGCTAGTATTGTCCTATTTTTTGCAGATGAAAATACACAGATTTTAAGTGAACAGAAAGTTGGAGGAAAAACCAATGCCAAAGCCAGGTGTTCTGATTCTTACCATATTACACAGATTTTTTTTTCCCTAATATCCCACCTACTTGGCAAACGGAAAGAAAGAAATAAATGATCATGAAGAGGCTGCTCTCTTATATTTAAATCCCCTTTACCCTCTAAGACTGAAATATCCAAGCACACCTAGGCCCAGTTCTATTCCTTAACACCTAATGGGCGGGAGTGATTCTACAGAGGCAAATGACGAAGGATCAGAAAGCTGCATAACATTATGTACTGGCAAGGCACTCTTTGCTTCCTTACCTTAAACTTGTCAACTTCAGCTTTTGAACATGTTGCATGGTATGACAGCACCTGATTCAGAAGAAAAGGAAAAAAAAAAAACCCTTTAATAACTAGACATGACTCTATTTTCTGAAATTCTCCTGGCTTAAAAAGAAACTCAGCTCATTATATCACCATGATAATAGTGAATTTTTTTATTGAAGAATAATTGACATACACTATCCTACTAATTTCAGGTATACATCACCATGATATGATATTTTCATACATTACAAAATGAGCCTCATGCTAAGTTTAGTTATCATCTGTCACCATAGTTATTACAACATTATTGACTGTATTTCCTATGCTGTACATTATATCCCCAATGACTTATTTATCTTATAACTGGAAGTTTGTGCTTCTTAATCCCCCTCACCTATTTCATCTCCACTCCACCCACACCTCCCCTCTCTGCTGACTAACAGTTTGTTTCTTATATCTATGAATCTGCTTCTGTTTTGTTTTATTTGTTCTTTTTTTGTTTTTAGATTCCATTTATGAGTGAAATCATACAGTATTTGTCTTCCTCTGCCTGGCTTATCCCATTTAGCATAATACCTTCTAGGTCCACCCATGTTGTTGCAAATGGCAAGAATTCATTCTTCTTTTTAATGGCTGAGTAATATTCCATTATATATATATATATAATATATATATATGTATGTGCATACATATATATATATTTATCACATCTTCTTTATCCACTCATCTACTGATGAACACTTAGGTTGCTTTCATATCTTGGCTATTTTAAATAATGCTGCATAGAGGTGCCTGGCTGGATCAGTTGGTTAAGTTTAACTCTTGATTTCAGCTCAGGTCATGATCCCACGGTTCACAGAATTAAGCCTTGCGGTGGGTGCTGCACTAACAGCTTGGCGCCTGCTTGGGATTCTCTCTCTCCGCTCGCTCTGTCCCTGCCCAGCTTATGGGCTTTCTCCCGCTCCCTCTAAATAAATAAAATAAATAAATAAATAAATAAATAAATAAATAAATAATGCTGCAATAAACATATGGGTGCACATATCTCTTTGAATTAGCATTTTCATTTTCTTCAGATAAATACACAGAGGTGGAATTGCTGGATAACATAGTAGTTTTATTTTTAATTTCTTGAGGAACTTCCATACTGTTTTCTGTAGTAGCTGTACCAATCAATGTACATTCCCACCAAAGCATACGAGGGTTCCCTTTTCTCCACATCCCCCCAACACTTGTTACTTTTTGTTTTTGTTTTGATAATAGGCAATCTGACTGGTGTGAGGTGGTATCTCATTGTGGTCTTCATTTGCATTTCCCTGATGATGAGTAATGTCAAACATCTTTTCATGTGTCTATTGGTCATCTGTAGGTCTTCTTTAGAAAAATTTCCATTCAAGTCCTCTGGTTGGTTGTTCTTTTGATATTAAATGGTATAAGTTCTTTATATATTTTGGATATTAACCCCTTATCAGATGTATGATTTGCAAATATCTTCTTCCATTCAGTAGGTGGCCTTTTTATTTTGTCTATGGTTTCCTTTGTTGTGCAGAAGCTTTTTAGCTTGATGTAGTCCTATTTGTTTATTTTAGCTTTTGTTGCCCTTGCCTGAGGAGACTCTTCCAAAAAGAAATATCGCTAAGACTGATGTCAAAGAGCTTCCTGCCTCTGTTTTCTTCTAGGAGTTTTATGGCTTCAGGTCTTACATTAAAATCTTTAATCCCATTTGAACTTATTTTTGCATATGGCGTAAGACAGTACTCCAATTTCACTCTTTTGCGTGTAGCTGTCCAGTTTTCCCAACATCATTTATTGAAGAGACTGTGTTTTCAATGGTGGATTTTAATGGACACGAAATTTCCCATAACTGTGACACAGACTGTTATCCATGCAATTGCAGTGGAATCTATTATAATGCTAAATGGAGCTGCAGTCCACATGAAAGGCTAAGTATTTTATACCAGGATGTTTTTATAGTTATTTCATCAAAGGGACATGATGTGGCTGGCTCAAGATCACAGCTCCCAAAGGACATGAATATTTGTCCTGTGAAATGCTCTGGAACATAAATAAATAAAAAGGCCGTGGGTGGTGTAGGTCTCTGTGTGTGTTTGTGTGAACTGTGGCAGACACTGTATATTGCTGACTCAACTTTCATTTCTGGTCTATTCTCACTTGCCTGCTTTTATTATGTAGGAAAGATTGTGCTGATATGCCCAACCATCTGCAATGTCTTTTGTAAGAGGATTATATTTCCCTGCCTTACTGACAGCCTTAGTATATGACTGGCATTAGACAATGCAGTGCGGCGGGGGGGGGCGGGGGGGGGCGCAACAGATACCATCCTGAAGCACTCTTCAAGAGGCTTATATGGTTCTGCCATCCTCTGTTTCCTTCCACCATGGGAAGTGTGTAGCCCAAGAAGGGCTGCTCTCTCAGCCTGGACCCCAAAATGAAACAGGTACATTAGGCACAGCCACAGCCACCCCACAGCTGTTGGTGTGTCCTGTGAGCATGAAATCAAGCTTTGTGGTTTATCACTGCATTGCAACTTACTGAATCAGAGGCTTAAAAGTCAAAAGTCCAATTCACAGGCTCCCTGTATCTGGGAGAAGTCCTGTGGAGTGGATGTGTGATGCTCCTCTGGTCAGTGAAATGTAAGTGGGAGTGCTGGGGCTGCCTCTTGGCCTTTTCTTTGGCCTCAGAAACAGCTATAAGGCTTGGATAGTCTGTGCAGCAGATATACGCAGCAAAATCTGTGCAGCAAAGTCTGGTGTCTATGAGGTGAAAACTATGAATGACTGCTTGTTATGGCTGGTAGAGCAGAATGGGAAGGAGAAATGAATCTGGCCCTGGACTGCCCTGCCTCAGACTTTTTGTTTCGCAAGACAAATAAACACACATTTGCTTAAGTCAGTATTGGAATGTTACAAGGTGTATCTATATATGTCTCTCTAGATCTACACACACACACACACACACACACACACACACACACACACACAACTTGCAAGTTACATATTTTATACTACCAATCCCATGCTTAATCTATACAAACTTCAAACAAATAAATCTAGGAAATGCTAAATCATTTCAACTACCAATCTTAGAGAACTGCATTATACATTTGGTTCTGAAAAGTAAAGTAACACATTTTCTTTTGTTAAATGCAGCATTTCCCAAATCTAATTAGCCACAGAACTCCCTTTTAGATGATACTGTATATTAATCTAGTAACATTCCAACCTAATAGCCTATTGGCCAAAAACTCTGAGAAATGTTGATGAGAAATATACACCATCTGTAGCAGGGCCACAATGGAGACAGTGTCACAGGGGGCAGATCACAGCCTCTGGAGCCAGCTTCCCAGGTATGGGAGTTTGGGCAAGTGTCTTAGTCTTCTCTACACCATTTTGTAAAATGGTATAATACTAACACTAAACAGGTATCTCCTGCTTAACATTAGTAAGCTATTGCTGAAAATCAGGTTCCACCTGAAAATGCTAACAGGGAGCCTGTTTTCCATTATTTTTAATTGAAAAAAATTATAATGCATTATAAAACATGCAACGACATCCTGAAACTTAATGAAAACACAGTAAAATTAATATGTATGTATGCAACAAGAAAATGTGAGGTTACAAATGGCTTCAAGTGTTTATTTTCTGATAATAACCAAGACCGTCTTAACAAAAAGTTGCTTTATATTCAGTGGTGTCTTCTCTCCCATCATAAACACCTTGATCTGTTAAGTTTCTCAGGATCCACATAAGAGTGAAACCATATGGTATCTGTCTTTCTCTGTATGGCTTATTTCACTTAGCATCACACTCTCCAGTTCCATCCATGTTGCTACAAAGGGCCATATTTCATTCTTTCTCATTGCCATGTAGTACTCCATTATGTATATAAACCACAATTTCCCATGGGGGAGGGGAAGGAAAAAAAAAAAAAAGAGGTTAGAGTGGGAGAGAGCCAAAGCATAAGAGACTCTTAAAAACAGAGAACAAACTGAGGGTTGATGGGGGGTGGGAGGGAGGGGAGGTGGGTGATGAGTATTGAGGAGGGCACCTTTTGGGATGAGCACTGGGTATTGTATGGAAACCAATTTGACAATAAACTTCATATATTGAAAAAAAAATAAACACCTTGATCACTCACTTCTTTTCCCATAGTTTTCTCAATGTCTTTTCATCTTTGGGAGGGACTCTTTGTCAAACACTACTAAGCAAAAGCCAGAGCTAAATGTTAGAGGCTTGGTGGTGACGCATCGGGAGAAATTGCATCTCAGTAGCAGCAACAACCAAGATGCACAGCCTCATTGTTAAATTCTGCGTGGTTCTCAACGTGTCTACAAATGATTTGGACGTTCTTTAGACCAATTCTATCTAGAGTATAAATAAAAATTTTTCCCACACCTCATTTTGTTTTTTAAAAAGTTATACAGAGTTTTGTGGACAAAAGTATATTTTCCCCCCCAGTATAAACAAAGGCACAAAAATGCTGTACTGAGAAAGAAATATGTTCTATGAGGTTTGGTCATAAAAAACCAAGAGATTTTCTACTGGGGAGATTCTGTGGTGTGGGCCTGTACTTCACACAGTTCTTGGGAAGGTTAATGGGATAAAACATGTCAAAGACTTGGCACTCAAGTCATCAATTTATAGTTCTTACATTAATATTTGGCAGAATATTGTGTCATCATATATTATCATCATTGGCTCATAATTATTTATAGGTATTTTCAATGCCTATAGTATTGGTTTAAGGAGTAGAACCCAGTGACTCATTACTTACATATAACACCCAGTGCTCATCCAAACAAGTGCCATCCTTAATGCCCATCACCCATTTAGCCTATCTCCCCACCCACCTCCCCTCCAGCAACCCTCAGTTTGCTCTTCGTATTTAAGAGTCTCTTATGGCTTGCCTTCCTCTCTATTTTTATCTTATTTTGCCTTCCTTTCTCCTATGTTCATTGGTTAGGTTTCTTAAATTCCACATGAGTGAAATCATATGGTATTTGTCTTTCTGACTGACTTATTTCG